GAAAGCAATTCCTTGTGATAATGTTGGAATGCTTCGTGGAATCACCTTATCTGAAGTGCTTAGTGGACTAACATGATTTCCTAAATTGGTTTCCAGTAAAAAATAAATAATGTCATTAAGAGGATTAAACATTGAAAAGAGAATATGTCCGGCTTGTAAACTGTAATTATAGCATGATTTATCCCATTTGAGTGGCTGAAATCACATGCCACATGTTCTAAAATGTGGGACTTGCTTTACTGTTATAGATTTGGTAAGTCAAGACTGTAAGTTAACACTTAACATGAGCACTTAATAATTTCAAGTTTTCTTATCTGTACAATAAAGCTAACTTGGTTTATGCTGGGGTAAAACAAGTTGGGAATGACAGGGATTTATGATACATTTCGGTAGAAGCCTGGGCATAGCCCTAATGTGACCTGTGACAAATTCTCTTCAGCTATTAACCTACGAGCCTGTCCTTTGCATGTTGGTAAACTTCCCAAGGGCAGAACCAGACAGTTGCTAGCATGTTGTAGGCATTGGATAAATAATTGTTATATGAATAAGGTTTCATTTCTTTTTACTCCTGGCCAATTATACTCTAGGCATTAAACCAAAATAAAATTATCCCTAACGTGTGCAGATCTACACATTTGCATCATCAACTTTCTCATATCTAACATCTATATAGCACACTGTATCTTTTATGTGTACATGTGACAAGGAGCATTTAGAGTGTGGGGAACATTTAGAAGATAATATTCATAGATTATATTTTATTTCTGAGAATATGTTTATTGATTTTCTCTTCCAAGAAATAATTCCAGCCACATTTACATTAAAAAGTCAGAATTTCATTTTCCACATTTGTTAAAGATTACTGCCAAGTAATATTTCTTATTCACTTTCTTAATACCATAAACCTTGTGACTATGGTATCTTAAAAATTACTCTATTTTTCATCTGGGAAGACTGGCCTCTTAAAATAAACTCAAAGCCATGTGAAGAATGGTGAAAATAGCAGGGAGTCATTTTAGCATCCAGATTCATTGAAATTAAATTCACTAAATTAAATATTGATCATTGGAATGGTCTCTTGCCTTCATATTCTGTAGCACTCTTAATTGTAAGGATAGTATTTGGGGGATAAATTTTAGGGACTGCTTTTGTTTAGTGAAAGTTAACTGTAGTTACTCAGTTTTTCAAGGGTACAGCAAGCAAATCCTGTGGTTTTCATTTGAATGAAGTGGTTCTCATTTGTGGTGAGGCGCAAAGACATGCTGTGTTTCCAGTGTCAACCATAACGGTGCATTGTGCATAGCCCACAATCTTTCTCATTAATGTAGTGGCTAACCGATGCCCAGGTATGTCGCCAATGGGAATGTCCTCAACA